TTTAGGGTAAGTCAAAACAGAGCTTATCTGCTAAAATTTCATCTTTTAAAAACAACAGCAATGTCAAATTTTAGGTACTTTATTTTTTTTGTAGTAAGTCCAAGAAAACATAGCCAAGTACATTTCTATAGTATTTCTCATGCGTATAAAATCAATTAAAGGAAAGAAAAACATTAGGCAATTTCATAATTGGATAATTAACAGGCTTCTTAATAGCCTTGTACTAGTACAGCTACTTACAGATTGAAAATAAATCCATTTGCCATCTGATGGTACATTTAGAGTCTACCCATAAAAGATACATCTAATCTAGATGGACTTTAATAATTTAAAGTAACATTTTAGTGTCCTGCTAGGGTCTTGATTAGTGTTTCATGTTGGTGAAGTCCAACACCTTATTTCTGTGTCATGTTGAACATGAGCTTTAAAGTTAAGGGAAGCATTTTAAGTAGGTGTCACACACCCACTCTCCCATCCTAAACTCTTCATCTGTTGGATCCCAACTCCCCAGGACCAAGCGACAGACCCGAGAGCAAGATTGTCAGGTTGGAAGATAGTTAAGCTCGTGAAGTCACCTTTCTCTATCTCCTGGGTAGAGGTTGGCAGCTCCTGGGAGACACTGGCCAGTTGATAGCTTTGTGATTCTGATGGAACATCCTGCAAAGGCCCTTTGGAGCAGTATCTACTCCAGATTGGAGAAATTCGGGGTACTCTTCAGTTGAGAGCCCTGGATTCTCAGTTCCACAGAAATGAACTACTCTTAACCTAGAGAAGGCGGCAAGGAGCCCTCCAGTCCAAGCTCAGGAATTTGGGGACCCACTCTCATTTTGGTTTCTTTTGAGAAGATCTTGACTTACCCTGATGTAGGAGGTGGTTAACCAAAGATCAGTTCTCAGTCACTCTTAAGCCCAAAAGTGTTTGCTGAATCATCCTGGATAGTGGTAGCCCTCTAATAATCATTTCTATCATCATCATCAATAGTACTAAATTTATATATACAAGGCACTGTATTACATACTGAGAAGTGTAACATTGATAATAATTGCTACCATTTATGTCGCATTTACTGGGAACAGGACTATGCTAAACACGTTGCACGTATTAACGTGTTTAATCCTTAATAATATAGGGGCTACTGTCAACTTCTATTTTTATACTTACGGAGACTGCAGCTTGGATAAGTTTTTAAAAACATGGCTCCTAGTCACACAGCTCCTAAGTGACTGACCAGGGACTCAAACCTCCCATATTCTTAACCAACAGACTTCAAAAGAATCAAGAGATGCTGTCCATGTTATCTAGTCGGAAGAGATGAGACATAGACATAAAAAAAATGATTCTGTGGTCGTGATAAGAAATGCCTCGCCTATCTTTTGAGTAATTCATGAACTGCTCTTAATCATCTTAAGTTCTAATTAAAAACCTCCTTTTCTCTTAAAGCAGATAAGTCTTATCATCTGCAATGCTTTTCACATGTGGCAGCCAGCAGCCCCGCTCGTGGCATCCCCCACCACCTCTGGTGCTCCCCACAGCCTCCCCTCCCGTGTGGGACACGTCACTCAAACCCAAGGCTCACATGCCACCTACCCAGCAGCATTGCGCAGGCTGGGCCCAGTCACTACAGTCCAGGTTAATTCGGTGTCTCATGTAGAACAGCGTGGGGCTGACATTTGACATCTCTTCCTTGGCGGGTTTTTGGTGTGTGCACTCATTACCCAGACAGGGTGCCTTTTACGTTCATCCTTGCACACGCTGGGATCCGTGTTCGTGTGTGAAGTGCTTTGGGTTCGTGGAGCAGACCGGTCAGAATGCTGACAGCCTCGGGCTCCAGTGCGGCCTGGAAGCTCCCATGGAAGTTGTGTGTTAATGAAGTAGGTCTGGGGTGTCAGGGCCTGGTGGAGTCGCTGTCGCCGTTGTGGTGGTTATTTGGCTGTCTCGGGTCTCACCTGGAGCAAACTTATCAGAACACACCCTGTGTTCTCTGCCACAGTCCTCCTGCTCCCTGTCACGACCACCTGACTTTGGAAAATGAGCCGTGCTGTGTCCCCGTGCTAATCAGAGTGAACCGTTCAGGAACTTTCTTCAGTTCGCTGAGTGTTAGAGCAGTGGAACCAGTGAGGGTGCCTACGAAGGGCAATGGGACGTCACTGCCTTGGCAGACAGTCTGATTTACTCCCTGGCTGCCCTCCACGGTGGTCATATGTCCTGTTTGCGGGCCTGGGAACTCTTGAACAGCAGGGACAAAGGATGCTTAATGTTTAGCCGGCAGTCAACTCCTCTGGGTAGATTCAGCATGATCGCTGGGCGAATAGTGTCTCACGAAAGAAAGACTCTAGGTTCTCATGGTCCTTTGTGTCCCTTGGACTTTCCATATCCTGCCGAGCACATGTGGAAGTGAGATGGGAAGGTCAGGGGCTGATGGCCAGAGAGGGACCAGAACCTCCTGAGAAGTCACGTCCACTAGTTGGCATTTTGGGTTCATCCTTCGATTTCAGATGTTTAAATTCTTTCTGCCAATGGTTAATTAAGATTTGGCCAAGTTGTCTGGCTCTTTCTTCTGAAATTACTGACATGGAAAAAAAAATACCGCTTGAGAGACATTTGAGTCAAATATTTGAATGTCATGCACGAGTATTTGTATTCTTGGTTGAGACTCACTTGGGTTGCGGGCTTGACTCCTAGTAGGGGGGCGTGCAGGAGGCAGCCGATCGATGTTTCGCTCTCCCTCTCCCTTCCTCTCTCTAAAAGTCAATAAAAAAAATCTTAAAAAATAGAGGTTCAGCTTGTGCCTGGCTTCCCGCTGTTCCTATTCGAGTATTTCCTGAAGTCACAGGATGAATCAGGACTGGGCGACATGAGTGTCTTTGAAGCCCTTGAGCTGGGTAGCAGCCAGACTGCCTGCTTAATTCATTCCTTCTGTGGGCCCAGGTGTCCTTTGGTGCCAGCCGAATCGGGGGCCCTCTTCTCATCCGTCTGCTGGGGCCACTGCGTCCTTTTGGTGTCTGTCAGGAAAGCTTAGCACGTGTGAGTCACCCGTGGTCTGCAGGCTCCCGTTCCCTCTCCTTCCTGTCATTACCGCTCTGCCTTGAAGCGCAGGCCTCTTCATTCCAGCGCCAGCAGAGAGCTGTGTCTGTGGACCATTCCTCTTTGAAGTTTTGAGTTGCACTAAAATATTTATAATGTGTGGACAAGCACTTGAAAGGGGTTTTTATTTCCCTAAGATATATCTCTTGACTTACGGAGGCCTTTTGATGATAAGAACTCACATAAGGTTTCGGGTCAGGGCTGCTTCGTGGAGGATGTCAGTAGGCAGTTACATGCTCACTAAAGAACCAAGCTCAGCCTTGCTCCGGACGAGGCAACGCTGTGGCCACGTTGATTAAATTGATAGTTGGCTGGTTTCATCGATGCCTTGGGAACCAGGAGGGATGTGCCAAGCTGTGTGTCTGTGTGTGGATTGGCTCTGGACCCAAGGTGACAGCACAGGGACCTGGCATTTGTAGTCCAGGCACCAAGGTCCCCTTGACCTTGAGCTTGCAGAAGACAAAAATCATTCTCATGCTTGGTGCAGGGCCTGGTGTACTGGAGACCAACATATGTTGTCTGTTAGGTGTTCGAAACTGAGCAGCAAAGGGCACTATGCTGAGTAAGGAAGGCACCCCTGCAAGGGAGAGCAGTCAGAGCCAAGAAGAAAAGAGCAAAGGAGACCTCAGACCAGGCTCACGCCCTTTCTTAGAGCAGATGTGACACGCAGGTGCGATGTCAGAGTCGAGTGCAGGTCCCACAAGGATCCAGCATAACCTGTGATATGTGGACAGCCCTGGTCACGCATCTCTCTCCTTATTGTGACACTTCTGCTGATGACTGAGTTAAGAAAAATATTCTAAATGAGCAATTAATTTCAGGCTTCTTGAAACCCAATACTTTGGTGCCTTGACATCATCAGCCGTGGGTTGCGGATTGGCTTTGGTCATCTCCAGTTTCTCCCATCGTCTCCAATTATGTAGTGGAATGTGGAAATAAACAAATGAATTATGAAACAGCTGAAGGGTAAAAATCACACTGTCAAATGACACTTATTGTGGCCATTAAAAATCACATTGTCAAATGATACTTACTGACAAGGGAAAGTTCCCCCGATGAAATGTTCTGTGAGAGAAAGCAAGAAACCATACCTTGGCCCCTATGGGGGTCCAAACAAATTCCTTTTGAGTAAAGGACCATCTCCTAGATGAATGTGCTGAAAACCTTACATGTGGGTATAAAAATATCTCAGTCCGTTGATGACACTGCTCTTTGGCTCTTGAACTGAAATAATCGTGGACTTGTGGTCAAGAAGTCTGGGCTCTGTCCAAGCTTTGAACCCTTTTAGAGCTCGGTTTCCTTATCTGAAAACCAAGGTGATAGTCTGCTCTGGAATTGTGGGTGAGGGGCCCTTGTGGGGCCCAAGTGCTCTGAGCTGTACTTTGAGACTGTGGACAAAGCAGAGTCGTTGAGAAGGACACCACAAGGCAGGTCTCCTATGGTCCATGCCCCTTTGTCAGCCAGACTTGGTCAACCTTGACCTCCTATTGTTTCCCATTGTTTTGTATGACTGTCTTGAGTTTCTACCTCCTGAGCCACTCCTTGCTGCTGCTGTGTAGAGAGGCCTTTTGATTTATTAATCAATTAATCAGTGCACGCTGAGGAGCTGTTCAGGGCAGTTAAGCAAGGAAAACAAAATGCTGGGGACCATAATCAAGATGGATCGTAATTAAGGACGCTGCTCCCACCAGTGATCTTCCTGCCACCCTGGTGACCCGTACCCCCTCCCTCACCCTCGGCTCATCCGACCCCATTCGGCCCTGATGGGGCTTCTGCCCCTTAAAAGCTGACAAGCAGATTTCAGAGAGGCAGATTTTCTTCTAAGTTCCGTGAGGAAGTAAACCTTGTGAGAAGCATCATCAATGATTTGCAACAATTGTTGAATCTCAAAAGTTCAACCAGGCTCCAAATATGGCATGGTAGCCATACAGGTAGACACCCTACTCTTCTATCCCAATTTCCCTATAGTCATGGAGATGGAAAGATCGGAAACAAAGATAGACCATGGCCTTGTGTGACAGGTGACAGGTTCCGTTAGGCTAAGGAAGTTGCCCAAGGTTACACCGCTTATTTGTAGCAGAACTGGAACCAGGACCCAAATGTTTTGATATCCAGTTAACACACCTAGTGCCCATTTCTCTGTGCAATCCTGCATTCCTGGAAAAATTAAAGCAAAAGAAATGAAATAAATCATCCTCATTAACTTTCTGATTTTCTCTTTGACGTGGACTTCTGTGCTAAAGCATTTTTAACAGTAGTTTTAGATGAATCTTGTGGGGAAAGTAACTTGGACTGTTTGTCAAGGAGATAATTTCCTTCTAATCAGTCAGGATGTCAGATACATGAAATTAGACGTGGCCAGCTTGCCACGGGGCAAAGGTCAACAGAGTGAATCTGCAGGGTCTGCTGGGCTGCTTGCTGGAGCCAGCTGGGTCCCTGGGCCAGAATCGGTTGAGTTTGGTTTTCTTCCAGTGGCACTCAGCACACAGTGCTAAGGAGACCAAGATTTTCCTAGAGGAGACTCTCTGTTCTGGGTCACAAGCAGCACCTCCATTCGTTACCCACTTTCAGTGGTTCACAGGGGGCAGGGGGACATTGCATTCGTCCGGAATGACTGCACTCACCTGTCACACCTGGACAAACATTTGTGCTGTTTAACGACACCTTGGGAATATCAAGGTGCTCCAGGTTCGGTTATAATCCTTCAGTAGACACAAGGAAAGGAACCTGTAATGTTCTTACCTGACTGGCTTGGCAAGGAGGCTGCTTAGAAATTTTTTTTTTTTAATTCCTTAAGTCTCCACTATAAGAATCTTGCATTTATCAAATATGTTTGTCAACTAGAGGCTCTCCTGCCTGCCAGTGTGGTGCTCATTTCTGTTGGCTGTCAATCCAACTCTTTGCGTAAATCTAGGGCTTAATTTATATAAACCGGCCACTGAGTTGCACTTACCAGGCTCTCCTTTTTTCTGCTTGTGTGCGCTCCAGGATCCTGCTTTCTCGGCTGTAATTCATGACAAGCTCCAGGTCCCCAATACCATCCGGAAGGCATGGAATGACAGGGACAACCGCTGCGACATTTGTGCCACACACCTGAACCAGCTGAAGCAGGAGGCCATCCAGATGGTGCTGACCTTGGAACAGGCAGCTGGCAGCGAGCACTACGATGGCTCCCCGGGCTCTCCCCCGCCCCTCTCCAACATCCCCACCCTGGTGGGGTCCCGGCACGTGGGTGGGCTCCAGCAGCCCAGGGATTGGGCCTTCGTGCCCGCCTCCTACGCCTCCTCCAACTACACAGCCTTCGTCACCAACAAGCACAACAGCAAACCCAACAGCCTTGGAGTCAGCAATGGAGCAGAGAAGAAGGGCATGTCCCCAACCCATCAGGCCAAAGTCAGCCTCCAGATGGCCACCAGTCCCAGCAATGGGAACATCCTCAACTCGGTGGCTATCCAAGCGCACCAGTACCTGGATGGCACCTGGTCCCTGTCAAGAACCAACGGGGTCACCCTCTACCCCTACCAGGTAAGTAGCCCCTGAGCAAGGAAGAGCAGGGCTGGTTAAGTTAAAGCAGAGAAGTGGGGAGGTAATACTTCCTTTCTCTACTCTTGTGCTTTTGGGAACCCCCCCAACTCAGAGCCTAGTGTTTCCATGTGGCCCCAGTGGACATTGCTAAGTAAAGATAAAATACAGGAGGAACCAGTGACCCATGGTCGTGCTCTGCTTCCATCGTCTACAGTGTCTAAGAGGTGCAGACTCCCTCCCTCACCTCCCCCACCTTGATGGGCCATCACCCTTTTCTGTTTGTGGTGACTCTTTAGTGTTGCGATTAGGTTACCAAATGTGGTTTCTACTTTTGTCATTTTCTTTTTTCAGTTGTTTAAATTAGCACATACCCGCAGGTTTTCCTATAGAAATAAGAGAGAAGGTCTTAAATCTGTCAAGGAATCTAAAATATTCTCTTAATTCTTCTTGGCTGAGTTCTCTGTTGGATGAGGGTTGGGTTTACCGTGTTCTCTCTGTCCCCTGAGAAAGTGTTGACTGTCACTGTGGAGTGGAGAGATGCCCATGGTCATGAAGTGTATTAGTCAGGGAAGATAACTGGTGTAACAAATGATCTCAGGTTATTTCTTACTCATATCTCTGTTGTATTGGTGTTTGGTGGGTGGCCTTCCACGCTGATATAGGGACTCAGGCTCCTCTAACATGTCACCACTTTGCAGGGGCCTCAGAACCTTCCACCAGATCTTGACAACCAGCCAGGAAATGAGGGAAGAGAGTGTGTGGAGGCTCTCACAGGGGGTCCTGGAGGGCGCACTTAACTTCCATCTACATTCCAGTGGCAAGAATCCAGTCTCCTGGCCCCACCTTCCCTCCCGGGAGGCTGGGAAAGTCAATCTGTCCATGTGCCAAGAGAAAAAAGTATCAAGTTGAGTGAACACATAGCATGGTCTCTGTTACAGGGGGGCAGAGGTGCAGGGAAACAGAAAATGAGTTCCACGTGGCTGATAAACTTCCTGGTAACTTTTCTAGAGTGTGAGGGGGAATGTAGATTGTTTCTCTTGATATCTTGCAAAAAAATTGGGAGCATGGATCATTATCTTAAGAAGTGAACATTCTTGAACTGCCAGATATTGATTTACTTGGTGCTCTGTTGCTTATAATATATAGTGTGTACATCATTTTACTGAAACTCCCTGTGAGGGAGGGAGGGCACATGTTAGATCTTTTTTAGGATTTTAAAACTGATTTTTAGAGAGGGGGGAAGGGGAGGGGAGGGCGTGTGTCCTGACCAGGAATTGAGCCAGCAACCTTTCGGTGCACGAGACGACGCCCAACCAGCTGAGCCACACTGGCCACTAACTGTGGCCACAGATCTTTTGAATTTGAAATAGAATGAGCTGTGGCCACAGTTAGTGACAGAACCAAGACCTGCTCTCTCCTGCCTAGAGGAAAGGGTTCCCCTGCTATAGCTGCTTCCAGCTTCCCAGAGCTATCTCTGGTCCACATCTTTTCCACGTGGCTCCTTTTCTGACGTGGCACACCAAAGAGACTCCTATCTTGACCTGCAGGGGCCTAGCTGCCACTTGACTTTGGGGCAGCATTTTCTGGGTTGTGGGTATAAGTACAATGAGGATCCAGTGGCACCTGGGTGGAGCTTCTTGGTCTAATGCTTGAACTTGACCATCTAGGGCAGGAACAGGAGAGCTTTTTCATTGGCGAATAACGTACGGCTTTTGTTTGCAATTTTAAAACTTGCTATTTCGAAAGTTGCAGAAAGTAACACATGGTCTGTTGTAAAATAAAACAAAAAAGATATGAAAAAGTTTAAATAACACTTTAAAAATCAACACCACCCAGAAACAGACTGTGTAACATTGGGGTGCATTTCCTCCAACTACTTGGTTCCCCCACAATTTGTAAAATTGTGATTCTGTCCGATTCTGTGATCTGCTTTTCGCTTGATATACTGGGTGCATTTTCCTATGCTGTTATATATTTTCTAAAATATGATGTCTAATGGTAGCATCATATTCCATTACGTAAGTACAATCCATTATCTGATGATGTCCTGATTTATATAACCAGGCATCAATTTGTCGAGTTTAGGGTTTTGCTACTATATGTAAAATGCTCTGGTGCACAATCTTCTACCCAGGTCGTCTTTTCAATACATCTCCGGTTGTGCTTGCACACGATCCTGTTCCACAGGCGACTCCCATTTCACCCCCAGGGCCCCAGTGCCCTTGTGACGTGTACCCGGTGCTGGTTAGAAGGCTCCGCCGCTGCACAGCACAGATGAGCAAAGACAGAGTAGTTGGAGGTGGTGCTTTCATATAAAATACTCAGTGTTGAAAAGCTTGTGAGAGGGGAAAGCTGGAGATGCTGGTTAAGAGGAAGAACAGGGGTTACGGTGCATTTCTGTTATTGGTGCAATAATTCTTTCTGCTCTCCCCCCTCTCCCACCTCAGATGAGAAAAAACTTCCTGTACAGTAGCAAATATTTATTAAGCTCTAACCGAGTGCTAGGCATTATGGGGGGTATCGGGTGGGGCTCTTGCCTTGGCCTGGAAACCTGGATTTCTGTCTTGTAGTCCTTATTGGAGGCAGGTGAACCTCCTGTGATAAGCTGGGGAGGTGAGTGCAAAGGCAGAGAGAGCCCAGACTGCTTTGAGGACACACAGAAGGGCTCCCAGTCCACCCCACTGCTGTGGCCTAAAGCCAGATACAAAATTGATTCACACAAGCCACCAACTGGAGATTGTCCTGGGCACATCTGATTGCTCGATTGCTCCTTCCCAACTCCAACAGACTGATTCCTACATGTCCCCTGAGCAATAGTTAGAGAGATCAGAGGAAATGTCTCTGGGATAAAGAGATCTGGTGCCTGGCTGTGAATCAATGTCCCCGTGTCATGCCTGTCCGCCTGGTGCCCTTGCAGTGGGGGCTCGGGGACCGGCCAGACTGAGTGTCTCCTGTTACGGACATGTCCCTGCAGTAAATTCTCTGCAGTTCACGGGCCGGCCAGCCTGGCAGAGATGGTTGACCGCTCTGAGCACTGACCTCGCTTTTCCTGCCCACCCTAGCCCACTTCCTTCCACCCCGAGCAGATGGCCCCTGGATCCACGCCAGAGCCCAGCCCTGGGCATCTAGGCTCTGTCACCGCTGACAGTTCGGCTCCATGCCCACAGCCCCGAGCCTGAGAAGCAGGGGGAATGGACACGGCCCTTTGCCATTGAAGGAGGGTCACAGAGGCAAAGAAGATGCCAGGCTCTGCAGCAGCGAGCAGGGGAAACTTGCACACGGACAATAAGTCCTTCAGACCCATCATGGCCCACTGCCCACATCCCTGTGTGACAATCTGCGATACTCTTCCAAAGAAAGACTCTTCTGTTAACTTCCAGACATCGGACACAATCCGTGTCCATACATGAAAGCAGAAAATGCTCCAGAACCTTCATTTGACCGCATGAGTTTTGACTGAAAAGACATAACCTGGATTAGTTCCCTGTGGTCAATCATAGATCAGTTACATTCATTATAGTAAATACGCTGCAGGGAGGACTGGAACACATGCCACTCAGGATCAGAGTGGCATGAGTTGAATCCAGAACCATGGAGTCCAGTTCCCTAGGATGGTGGGACGTTCGGAGACTGTCCTGCCTCGCTCAAGTCCATGGCCCCACGGGTGGTTGAACCTCAGTTTAGTAGCTTAACATCTTAGTCTATTTTCTTACCTACGAAATCCCCACCTGGTAAGATTATTGTGGAGGACAGTTACGAAAAAAATGAAACCGTTTTATAAACTCTAAGGTGGGCAGACCAATATAAATCATCTTATTTCAACCCCCTCATTCGCCAGAGGAAAACTCTGAGGCTGACACACACGAGGTTTTTGTTCAGTTTCTTAAATCTTAGTTTGATCTCTCTTGCTAGATTGCAGACTCCTCGAGAACATGGGTCCATTTCATTCTCATGTCCCTCAAAGCAGCTAACGTGCAAAAGTGGCTGCTCTTTAGAGAAAACTTTAATCTCATGGAAATGTGAAAGGGGTTTCTTATGATCGGCCCTAGATTTAGGAAAAACAATTGCAGGCCAAAAACCTATCTGAACCCCAAGATTTTTGATGGAAACCACCAGTGAGTTGGCTCCAAGCTAATCTTTAACCTGAAGTATCTTAACAATAATAAATAAATCCTTGGATGCAATGAATAGAATCTAGTGGCATTTTGATGTCACAGTCAGTCCAGGGACATTTCAAAGGGTAGATATACTTTTTTTCTTGATAAATTGACCTTGTCAAGAAAATTCAAGAAGATGTTAGATTAATACACAAGTGATAAACCCATTATGGATCATTCGATGTGCCTTCTCAGGTTAAAGGGAAACGTGTTTGGTGAAAATGATCCTGCTCTCTCAAGAAGCATCTGTTGGAACCCACGTCATGGATGATGCTAGACCGAACTCTGGCTGAAGTCAGGGTGGGATTGTCTCTTTTACATCTTTAGAAATTGTGTCTAGAAAGCACAGGCATTAGGGGAGCTTCTATTCAAGATAGATGAGCAAGGGGGATGCCATAGCTGTACCAACCTGGAAACAACTCACAGTTCGCTAGACCCTGGGACCTCTGCGGGACTCAACCTTTCTCTGCAGAGGCCAGGAGCCTGGGGACGACTTGCTGCTGGCCCTTTCTATGGAGGACATCCTAGTGCCCCTAAAAGGAAGGCAAGGCTTTGGGGAGGCAGGCTCTCACTCCAGGACTCGGAGGCCTTGTTTGTGATGGATTCATGGAGCCCAGAAGCACGTGTCCTAGAGTAGTCGATGCCCAAGGCACAGGGCCCACCTGTGCTCTGTCCTCGCTGAGCCGCTTGTCAAGAAGGAGCATGGTTGGGTGTTGGCAGTGGGTCAGGAGCGGAGAATTCCCTTTCACGTTCCCTGCTCAGCCATCTGTCCCCTGCAATAGGCAAGTGCCCTTCCTGTCCCCGCCCTGGCATGTGTTTGCTGGTGCTTCCCAGCCAGAGCAA